AACAGTGTGGATGCTTCTTCCCCCAATTAAATAACATAACCGTGTTCATATACTATTTCTGTATGAAACTGATTTAAGATGCAGACTGATGCAGTAGCAGATAAGCTGGAAGCAGAATCTGGATCCAGACCAGGCAAAAGCTTGGCAGGCTGTGAGGAGAACCTGCTTAGCCACATGGACGGGGAGGAAAACAGGAGAAGGTAGGTGGGGAACGAAAACCCGACATCATCTGCCAGTCGCTAGCGTACAACTCTGGCAGAGGGAGCCAAGCCTGCAGAAACCATCATGTTAGGGGAAAAACAGTGAACTGGGTGGGTAGATGAGACCCAACACTTTGCTCCTACGCTTGCGTAATTGAACAGAACGCTTCTTGTTGCTCAGAGATAAACCAGGGCTGCTTTATAAATCTGAACTATTTTATACATTGATAAAAGAAATACTGGCTCAAATAGCCACTCATCCTGTCGCCCAGCAAAGAGTAAGGATTACCCATAAAGGAAATGGAAGTTTTTGACAATTATAGGAGTCTGTTCTCTCTTTTAGGCCACGGATGGATTACCAAGGAATGTGTTTACAGGCAAACTAGCCACCTGGTAAGTTCTGTAGACTTCTTCGCCATGCTGACATGCACACATATCACTAATAAAATATATCCAGGGCTTTATGCATACCATGCATCTATGGGGATTGCCAAGCAAGGGTAGAATTTGACCTTTGGTACAGAGTCCACCATCTTGCACATCTCAGCCGTCTTTCCCTTTACGGCCAAGGAGATAAAATTTGAAAGCGTATGGGGAGGATTATGATGTGGCCTCATCTCAGAAGCGACAAGAGGCTGGGAACCATTATCAGGAAGTTGTTAATCATTATTTAATAGCTATAAAGCCAGCCATAGGATAATGTCTTTGGTCTGCATAGCAGATCAGTGGAAGGGCTGGTTCTGTGGGTCGACATAGTTACTATTCAACCAGCCAATGAGTCCAGCCCCTTCTATTAGGGGCAAATGGGGCATTACCTTCTCAACTTCAGCCTGTCTACAGTTAGCCTCCTTACCTTCGACCAGTTCAGGTGGGGTGGGAGAATTGCTTGCCATTTACTCTGGTCTCCTTGCCTTCTGCCACAATGACCATTAGCCGCCACTGTCCCCTTTCCTATGAAAGGAATAACCTGGAACCTGATCTGTTATGACTAACTGCCAGGGAAAAACAGTTTCCCAACTCTCTCTCTCACACACACACAAACACAAACACACAAAAACACACACCTACAAATCCATAATTATATTGAACCTTGGTGTGGATTTAATTAAGAGCTGCTATGGGAGCCATTCTTGCCTGGAAAGCAGGTATGAACTCATCATCATCGTCACTGAGCTTTTACGCATTCAAAGTGCTTTGTGTGTTTGTTGTGATCCTCGCAACAGCCCTGGAAGGTAGGTCAATACATTATCCCAAAACTGCAGATTGTAACTGGCTTGCCTAAAGGGAAGCTTGGGAACATGGCAATGTTCAAAACGAGCTGTGCCACTACGCCCATCATGTCTGAAATTCTTACAGCAGAATGCCTTGGGCAACTGCTCCAGAAATATACTCCGCTTTGGGCGTTGCAGCTGCCTTACCTGAATGGTTTGCTGTCAGGGTCTGTGTCTTTGAACCCCATCTCTTCCAGCTTGCAGCGGCGATAGAGCTCGTAATGTCGGCTGTGAGTCTGTTCCCTCAAGTCCTCCATGTTCACTCTTATGAGCATTTCACGCAGCTTCACAAAGTCACAGTGGTTTTCATTTTCAACTACAAAACAAAAGGGCTCCTTTAGCAGTCTAAAACTTATCAAGGTTCTCCCATCTTCACCCTCCCCTCGCCCCAATTCCTTTTCTACACACAAAAGCCCTGATTTCCCCCGGGAAGATACTAGTCATCAGACCAGTTCCATCACTCCAAAGGATTTTCCTATGAGCTTAAGGCACTTCACGTGCAATACTTCAGCAATAGTTACAACAACCCTGTAAAGTAGGCCAGCATTCTTTACAGACGGGAAGCTGAGTTGGAGAGCTAATGGCTTGCTCCAGTTAGTTCATGCATGAGTTGAGTTTTCATGAATCAGGCCCTTTAATCATTATGCTACAGCTGCTCTGAAAGGCACCAGCTTTTATTTCTTTGCAATAGACACAAGAAACGGCGTGTATACATTAAACAAGCCATAGCTTTCCAAACAGCAGTTGTTCCCAGCTGTCATTTCTGCTCTTCACTTTTATAGTATTGCCGTCTCCCATGTGTCCCAACCAGAAGGCAGTTTCTAAAGTCTCACTCTGAGCCCCCAGTGAATGCTCCCTTTTGCCAGTTGACTGTTACAGCTTATAGAGAAAGGATTCAGCAATGGGCCTCTTCTGGATACCTATCCATGGTTATAAGGTTGCAAACATTTTAGCATCTGATAATGTGTAGTACAGTAGTACCTCGTGTTACAAACACCTCGGGTTACAAACACTTTGGGTTACAGACTCCGTTAACCCGGAAGTAGTACCTCGGGTTAAGAACTTTGCTTCAGGATGAGAACAGAAATTGCGTGGCAGCAGGAGGCCCCATTAGCTAAAGTGGTACCTCAGGTTAAGAATGGTTTCAGGTTAAGAATGGACCTCCAGAACGAATTAAGTTCGTAACCAGAGGTACCACTGTACAGTGCACCTGTAAATAGCACAGTGCACAACTTAACCCAGGCAAATGCATAAGTATGGATTTGAACTCGGGCCTTCAAGTCAGAAACTCTAGCCAGATACCCAGTGCAAGAACTCCAGCAGATCCAGAAACTGCAATCTCCAGACCAAGCACAAGGGCAGCCCCATAGAAAATGCACTGCAGTAATCTAAATCCTGAAGTTACCAGTGTCTAAAATACAGTGGTGCCCCGCAAGACGAATGCCTTGGAAGACGAAAAACTCGCTATACGAAAGGGTTTTTCGGTTTTGCGTTGCTTCGCTAGACGAATTTCCCTATGGGCTTGCTTCGCAAGACGAAAACGTCTTGCGCTTTTTTCTTAAAGCCGCTTGAAGAGGCGCAGTTGCGACGGACCGTGCTTCGCAAGACGAAAAACATCGCAAGACGAAAAGACTCGCGGAACGAATTATTTTCATCTTGCGAGGCACCACTGTACTGTGGTTAAAACTCTCCCAGTCCAGGAACATATCAGGTGCAGCTGGTAAAAGATGATTCTGGGGAAAGAGAAGGTTTCTGCATCTGACACAGCTTTTGGGGTCCCAGCTACCATCTTAATACACTCTTCACATTTTCTCTCTCTCTCTTTTGCCATTGCGGAAAGAAATTAGGTTTTATAGCTCCACCCTGCATTTCACTAAATTGAAGCTGAGCAAGCAGATCTGCCACCCGACCCCACCTCTGCAGCCGACATACCTTGCACGACTCCCCATGGATATTGCCTGGCCTTGGCCATCTTATTGCCAATTTTCACTTCTTCGGTGCTGCCAACCACAGCAAACGGGAGGTGGACCTGCAAGGCAAGAGGCAGAGGAAGACCATGGGAGTCTTCAGTTGCTTTGCCAGACATATTTTCCTTAAATGAAAAAAAAAAAAAGCGAAGTAAAAGCAGTGAGTGGGAAGAAAACACTTCAATAGACAACTGTGCTGGCTTTCACCGATTTAGAAGTTGTCCAAGTGTTTCTGGAACACAGCCTAACTTTTTGAAGAACGGGGTTGGTGGGAATCAAGGACAGCAAAGCGGCAGATCAAAACAGTCTCCTAATATCTGAGTGGTATTATAGGCCAAGTGAGCTGGTTTCTTCTTCTTTGGTGGCCTGATTCTCTGGTTCCCTTTTACTTGTTTGTGTGTTTAGAATAAGGTTACCAGATTTTTTCCAATGAATCTGGGACATTTTTCAACTTCAATGGATTTTGTATGGGGACTGATTTGTAAATCCGGGGACTGTCCCCGGGAAACAGGGACATCTGGTAACCTTAGTTTAGAATTGCATATTGGTGGGAGATTTTCTGTTGTCTGCTTGTTTTGCTCTTAGGTTTGTTGAGACCAAATGTATAGGGGTATATGCTCCCAAGTTTTTAGTGTTTCTTTGCCAGTTTTCATTTGATTATAGAAGATCTTAATAAACAGTCTTAACACATGCACACCCAAAGAAACACTTCCTTCCCTAGGAATTAAACACAACCTTAGCATTTTCATTGGGCAGTATTTAGATACAGTTCATCATCATCATCATCACCATCATCATAAATTATTATTTGTATCCCGCCCATCTGGCTGGGTCTCCCCAGCCACTCTGGGCGGCTCCCAACAGAATATTAAAAACACGATAAACACCAAACATTTAAAACTTCCCTAAATAGGGTTGCCTTCAGATGTCTTCTAAAAGTCAGATAGTTGTATATTTCCTTGAAATCTGATGAGAGGGCATTTTACAGGAAGCCACTGCTGAGAAGGCCCTCTGCCTGGTTCCCTGTAGCTTCGCTTTTCGCAGTGAGGGAACCGCCAGAAGGCCCTCGGAGCTGGACCTCAGTGTCCAGGCTGAACAATGGGGGTGGAGATGCTTCTTCAGGTATACTGGACAGAGGCTGTTTAGGGCTTTAAAGGTCAGCACCAACACTTTGAATTGTGCTCGGAAACGTATGAAGCAGTACTCATCAGTATCCCACATGCCTGACATGGAGAGCATTAAGCAACTAGGTGGAGTACTGAAAGCATGTCCCTAATCACTGGGAACCTTACTCAGCCTCTCCTCTCACTTCTGAGGTTTAGCTGGCTGTATGGGCAACACTTTCGTGTGCATCACTGCTCGCTTTTTAAAAACGGAAGCAGGGATTCTCAGGACGTTGAATCTTGGGACCACTTTCTTCTGTGGTCCTGCAGAATTCTAGCCATGTACATAGTCTTCCTAGAGAAGAGTGCACCCCTTGGGTCCATCAAACTCAGTGCTGCCCACACTGACTGGCAGCAGCTCTCCAAGGTTTCAGAATGAGAGTCCTTCCCAGCCCCACCTGGAGAGGCCAGGGGATTGAACCTAGAACCTTCTGCATGCAGAACAGATGCCCCACCACTGAGTTACGAACCTCGCCTGAACTTCACATCAGCACATGCAGTTCGACCCATAAATCACTCCTTAAACCTGATGCACGTATGATAAATATTGCCAAAGAGCAGGCGGGTCTGACTTTGGATGAGAGTCACATGCAAGCAGTGTGAGTAAGGCAGAGGGGTCAATCATATCTCATACCTGCCTTCCCCCACCCCCCAAAAGCAGCAGAAACAACATCTGAAAGGGGCCTGAATGCTTATACCTTCAAATTAGGATTGATGGAATGTTTTTATTGTCAGTATCAGCTGGCATTATTTCCCCCCTTTCTTTCTTTCTTTCTTTCTTTCTTTCTTTCTTTCTTTCTTTTCTTTTTTAAATTTTTTAAAATTTATTAGTATTTTCCACACAACAACAACATGAAAAATATCGAAAAATAACAATACACAAAACCCAACATACAAAAAAACCCAAATACATATCTTACAAGTTAATAATATAAACACTAAAAAGAAAAACAAACATTGACTTCCACCAATCCCACAACACCTCCTTTACCTCTCATTATGTCTTCCTGTTTTCCTGTTTCCTTTATCATCTCTATACTAGCATCTAGATATAAATCCCTCTTTCTTATCCTTTCACTTCACAAGGTTATTCCAGACTCAGCCAGATTTCTGTCCTCGAACCTTGACTTTTAAGGTATTCATTTAGACACTCCCATTCCTTTTTCACTTCACTTTTTGGTTTCTGTCTTATTATATCTGCCAATTTGGCTAATTCTAAACATTCTGAAAGCTTACATAACCATTCTCCCCTAGTGGGTAACTGATTCCCTTTCCAATACTTAGCCACCCTTTCTTTCTTTTCATCGTATTTGCAAATATATATTTTTTATTTACTTTGGTTTTTAAAAATGGATGGGGCCTGAGGATGCACAGCACCTCCCAAAACACACAATAGCTGGGTGATGTGCTTTCCTTCTTGGGGGAGGGGGTTGCAAGTCAAACAGATATGACAGCAATAAATGGGCTGACGGAATCGTAAATTGACCTGGGAAAGGAGTAGTCAGGGGAGAGCATTGTGACTCAGGCACTCACTGTCTGCTTCCTCCTCGTTCTGTTTAGATGCGCTTGTGCAGTTTACATGCTGATGGTCCACAGCACAAGCTGGCGCTGACACTTCCTAGGGAGTGGGGAGCAGGGTGAATGGAAGGAAGTCGAGATTCTCCCCACCCCATTTTATTAGCTTTCACTAAAGGAGGAAGGAAAAGGGGACTTTAAAAAGGAAGCCTGGCTCTAGTCCAAGACGCCTAAACTAGCCAGCCAGCCAAGGCAGCCTGTGGAAGGAGGATGCGTAGATGCTTGTTTCAAAAGGGTCAGCAGTAGTTATTGGAGGCAAAGCAGCAGCAAGTGAGGATACTATAAAGCAGCGAACATAACAGCGATTAAAGAATGGTTCTCGACAGATATAATTACAGTAGAAGAAGAAGCTACGATAAAAAGAATTTAAAAAGCGTGTTGTGATACAAAAATATTTGGGAGAATATTTCAGGGAAATGTACGTTCTCCCTATGCACCATTAAAAGTTTGGCGTGGAATTAATAATCACCACTAATGGCACAGTTTTATAACAAATATTTGAAGCCTGGTTCAGGATGCAACAAAATCACTCAGTGCAGGCACGTCCAAAGTCCATTTTGGGGGCTTAATCCGACCCCATGGCCAGTTTTATCCAGCCCCTGTGGCAGTTAATGTATTGGTGTCTAATCCAAAAAAACAAGTTCACTCCTAAAAATAAGCTCAACAACCTTGGGGGGAAATCGTAAAAAAAAGGTCGGCCCTCACGCATGTTCACGTCATCCAATCTGGCCCTCTTTGAAAAAAGTTTGGGCACCCCTGACTTAGTGGAAATGGGAGAAGCATGCATACACTTACATTCCTACCAATCAAGGTGGGGGACAGACACCAGTGTTCTTCTCCATCTCAATGGTAAAACAGACTAAGAACATAAGAAGAGTTCTTCCAGCCTAGCATCCTGTTCCCAGTATACCTGAAGGAGCGTCTCCACCCCCATCATTCTGCCCGGACACTGAGGTCCAGCGCCGAGGGCCTTCTGGCAGTTTCCTCAATGCGAGAAGCAAAGCTACAGGGAATCAGGCAGAGGGCCTTCTCGGTGGTGGCGCCTGCCCTGTGGAAGGCCCTCCCATCAGATGTCAAAGAGAGAAACAACTACCCAACATTTAGAAGACATCTGAAGGCAGCCCTGTTCAGGGAAGTTTTTAATGTGTGACGTTTTAATGTATTTTTAATCTTTGTTGGAAGCCGCCCAGAGTGGCTGGGGAGACCCTGCCAGATGGGCGGGGTACAAATAATAAATAATAATAATAATAATAATAATAACTCTCGCAGTAGCCAACCAGATGCCTATGGGAAGCCTATAAACAAGACCTCCATGCAATAGCATTGTGTGGTTGGGCACAATCCATTTATACTTGTTTTCAAAGTGACATCGCCTTAACTGGGTTTTTTTTTACAGACGAAATTGTTTTACCAATGTTTTTATTGTTGACTCTCTTCCGAGATATTTCACAGGAAGCACTTCATGAATGAATTGATGTATTGACTGGACAAGCAACCGCTGAATTGTATCTCTGCCTCAAGAGGAAGGTGGGCCACAGAAAACAGGATTGTGTCCCCTCATGCGGTTGGAAGGGTCCAACCATCGTCTGGCTTCTAAACTGCGGCTGGAGAAAACATGGTTTGGGGTGATGTCTGAACTGAAATCATTCTTTCAGATACGTAAAGCTGAAGTTTGTGTGTCCTTTGCTCAGCAGTTTGTTTTGCTGGAGGACCCCTTTGGAGAAGAGGATGTGGGATGGAAGAACACAGCCTTTCCAATGAGCCATCCCACATTGCATGGCCTGCTATCATGTCCCAGTGTTATATAATAATAATAATAATAATAATAATAATAATTTATTATTTATTATTTATACCCCACCCATCTGGCTGGGCTTCCCCAGACACTCTGGGCAGCTTCCAACAAAATATTAAAATACCGTAATATATCAAACATTAAAAGCTTCCCTAAACAGGGCTGCCTTCAGATGTCTTCTAAAAGTCTGGTAGTTGTTGTTCTCTTTGACATCTGGTGGGAGGGCATTCCACAGGGCGGGTGCCATCACTGAGAAGGCCCTCTGCCTGGTTCCCTGTAACTTGGCTTCTCGCAGCGAGGGAACCGCCAGAAGGCCCTCGGCGTTGGATCTCAGTGTCCAGGCAGAACGATGGGGGTGGAGACGCTCCTTCAGATATACTGGACCGAGGCCATTTAGGGCTTTAAAGGTCAGCACCAACACTCTGAATTGTGCTCGGAAAAGTACTGTTTTACTGCTCATCCACCCATCCTACCCACTTCTGTCTCTGGAGTCAGAAGGGTAGAAAGCGCAAAGCATTTGGCCTATGCACCACTACTTACTGAGCACTTTTGCATATGGTCAACTCTTCACTGAGCTTCTTAACCATGTAATGCATTAAGACAGACAAGACACACGGCCCCCTGGCCTGGCCAGAACAGCGAACTTCATTTCCTCCTGCATTTCCTAAGCTCCAAACCAAAAAACCTCAAAACCACACTGGAGCTCTTGGAATCTGCCAGTAAACAGCAGCTGAGCTTGTGCCGAAAAAAGACGCGCCCTAGCCCAGCCCGCTTAGCCATAAAAGATGCACTTGGGATTGTTCCCCGTCCAGGATATTGTGTGTTTAGAAACGAGAGCCAAAGCCAAGAGGAAGCTGGGTCTGTTTTCGGTCTCTCGGGACTCGTCCAGGTGGTGTTTTCATTACGCCGTGTGCAATTCTGAAGGGCTGGCTTGCATTTTGGGGGAAGGCCAGGGGCCATGCCCAGTCTGGGGCGGGAGAAGAAGCAAGAGCTGGGCAGATGGGTGGAGAAAGGCTCTCGCTTACATGCTGTGCAGGACAGCTGCCGCTTGGACATTTCTGTGGCTGAAATAACTGTCTCTCCTCCCTGCTCCCTGTCGCCTTTTCACAAGCACCCACACTGGGGCAGCTTCTACTCCACGCTGCGGCTATGGCCAAGCAGCACCGCCATGGGGCAGCCCCACCTACATCTCCTCACGCATTCGAGCTCTTCTGTCTCTCTCACCATCAGTAGAACTGAAGAGCCAGGAAAAGAAGTGTTCCCCATTTACTTGCATTGCAATGGCAAAATGAGGAGTCTAGCTCATGGAGGAGAAGGCTCTCCGTAGCTACTAGCCACAATGCTTCTGCTCCACCTACATTGTCAGACGCAGAGTGCCTCTGCGTACCAGTTGCTGGGAGCTGCCAATGTTACACTCAAGTCCTGCTTGTCGGCATCCCAGAAACATCTGGTGTGGGATATTTAAAATGCAGTCAAACCAACAATTCCTGTTTTGCTAGACAGGTCCAGCGCCAAGGGCCTTCTGGCGGATCCCTCACTGCGAGAAACCAAATTACAGGGAACCAGGCAGAGGGCCTTCTCGGTAGTGGCACCCGCCCTGTAGAACACCCTCCCATCAGATGTCAAAGAGAAAAACAACTACCAGACTTTTAGAAGACATCTGAAGGCAGCCCTGTTTAGGGAAGCTTTTAATGTTTAACAGACCACTGTATTTTAACACTTTGTTGGAAGCCGCCCAGAGTGGCTGGGGAAACCCAGCCAGATGGGTGGGGTATAAATAATAAGTTGTTATTATTATTATTATTATTATTATTATTATTATTATTATTATAGTTCTACTTTGGTTCTTGAACGTCTCCGCTGACTAACGAATGCCGAAAACCCGGAAATAAATGCTTTCATTTTCAAACTCTGTATAAGGCAACTTCCTATATTCCCATGTCTTACAAGAGCAGGGATGGAGGACGCAAGGAAAACAAGGCTTACACTCATTGTGGCATTAATCTCGGCCACTGTCTCTTCGTCCGTCGGGAACTGATAGATCTGGACTCCGTTGCTGACCAGCTCGCTCATGATTTTGCTCTTGAATTTATGCAGCTCGTTTTT